TAGCCGCTACACTGGAGCGGGCTGGGTCTCAGGAAGAGCCCGACGCCCCCCGCCCCCCCATGGAAACGGGCTTGCGAGCGCCACAGAGCGGGGCTGCTGTGTCTGCCCCCGCAGCCCGGCCCTGTCCACGCACCGTCCCCAGCCCTGGGGCCGCATTAGCTGCCCAGAGCTCTGGGGTGGGGGGGGCTCTGTCCCCGCCCCACCCCCCGACGCCCCCCGCCCCCCCATGGAAACGGGCTTGCGAGCGCCACAGAGCGGGGCTGCTGTGTCTGCCCCCGCAGCCCGGCCCTGTCCACGCACCGTCCCCAGCCCTGGGGCCGCATTAGCTGCCCAGAGCTCTGGGGTGGGGGGGGCTCTGTCCCCGCCCCACCCTCAGCCCCCTGGGCCAGTGCCTTGTGGCAGCTCTGGGGGCCGGGGCTTTTGGCAGACCAGTAATATTTTAATTGCATATTTGTGTATTCATTATTTGCATATGAATATGCAAATCTGTTACCTGTGCACCAAAAGTTTGAGAGTAGGTTGGCCAGTCCACAGTATTAAAATGGTTGGGAATCGCTGCCTTAGATCTATACAAATCAGTAATGCTTTTGATTAAATTCGTCTTAAGCTACATAAGAAACTAGCTGAAGCAATCTCAGAAACATTAGCCGTTATCCTTGAGGATGGGTAAGTTCCTATTGAATGAGAAGAAGCAAACATTGTTCCCTATTTTAAAGATAATACCTGTGTCTTCTTTAACTAGAGTCCGATTAACTTAACTTGGCTATATGTAAAGATACTGGAACAAATTTATCAGTTTGTAAGCACATAAAGGATTGTAGTGTAGTAAGAAATAGCCAGGAAGTATTTGTCAATAATTAATCATACCAAACCAATATAAATTTTCTTCAGTGACAGGGTTACTGGCCTTATGAATAGAGTAGAAGTAGTAAACATGAAGGCTGTGTCTACATTGGCACCCCTTTCCGAAAAAGGGATGCTAATGACACACTTCGGAATTGCAAATCCACGGGGGATTTAAATATCCCCTGCGGCATTTGCATTTACATGGCTGCCATTTTTTCCGGCTCGGGGTTTTTGCCGGAGAAAAGTGCCAGTGTAAACGCGATTCTCCGGAAAATAAGCCCTTTTCCAGAAGATCCCTTATTCCTACACTGGCGCTTTTCTCCGGCAAAAACCCCGAGCCGGAAAAAAGCGGCAGCCATGTAAATGCAAATGCCGCGGGGGGTATTTAAATCCCCCGTGGATTTGCAATTCCGAAGTGTCTCATTAGCATCCCTTTTCCAGAAAGGGGTGCCAATGTAGACACAGCCGAAAGATGTTAAAATGCAATTATCTTACTAATCGTATAGTCGATACAATTTGTATCAACTATACAATTAGTTGATAAGCACCACTATTCAGCACCTCAGCGAGGGTAGCTCCAGGAGTCGACTCCAACCGGGAATGAGCAGTTCTGGCTCGTGCTAGCTCCAGAGCCATCAGCGCTGCGGCTCTGCATTTTATATGTAGTAAGAGCCACTCTCACTAAATTTAAAATGCAGAGGCGCAGCGATTAGCACTAGCCAGGATTGCTTGAGTCCAGCAGCCCCTGTTCAGGGCAGATGGGTACTTTGGAGACACCATTAGCATTCATGATGACTCTTGATTTATTGGGGAATTGGTATGAAACAATTAAGATGAAATTCAATAAAGACAAGTGCAGATGTCCCATAAGAAGGAAAAAATGAAATGCACAACTACACGTAACAAATATAGAACTGGAAAGGACCTGAAGAGGTCACTGAGTCCAGTCCCCTGCCCTCACTGCAGGATCAAGCACTGTCTAGATCAGGCTAGGTGCAGTACTGTTAAAAAGGATGTGCAGGTGATAGTAGATCATAAATTGAGTCATTGTGATGTAGTTGTGAAAAAAAGATGATATTTCTGAGGTGCATTAACAAGCAATATCTATAAGATTGGGAAAGTAATTGTATTCTAACCATCGTTAGTCAGGCTCAGTTGGAATGATGCATCCTATTCTAGGTGTCACACATTAGGAAAGCTGTGGATGAATTAGGGTACATCTAAACTATATCCCTGTTTTTGAAAAAGGAATGTAAATCAGACATCTAAATTGTAAATGAAGCCAGGATTTGAATTTCCCACATTTCATTTACATAATGGCGGCCACGGCTTTTTTTCCAAAAGCTGCATTTTGGAAAAAAACCTGCAGTCAAGACAGGAATCGTACAACAGAAATGCCCCTTTCGAAAGATCCTGTAACCCTTGAGGTTATATTTCTGTTAAACAATCCCCATCTTGACCGCGGTTTTTTTCCGAAAAGTGGCTTTTGGAAAAAAAGACATGGCCACCATTATGTAAATAAAGCATGGGAAATTCAAATCCCGGCTTCATTTACAATTTCGATACATCTAATTTACATCTCTTTATCAAAAAAGAGATGTAGTTTAGATGTTCCCTTGGAGAGAATCCAGAAAAGACCAACAAAAAGTGATAAGTTTTGGAAAACCTGATTTCTGAGGAATGGTTAAAAATGACATAGTTAGTCTTAAGACTTCAGTGTGAAGGTGATAGTTTTCAAATATGGAAAGAGCTGGTACAGAGAGGACAGTGATCAGTTATCTTCCATGTCCACTATAGGTAGAACAAGAAATAGTGGGTTTAGTCTGAAGCAAGGAAAATTTAGGTTATTTAGGAAATACTTGTTTACTGTAAGGATATTTGAACTCTGGAATCGGCCTCAAGGGAGGTTTTATAATTTCATAATTGGACTTTTATTTAAAGACCAGGATGGAAAGTACCTGCTGAGATTTAACTTCAGAAAGGCTGATTTGGAAGCTTTACCTTTCAATTTAGATGCATACACAAATATTATGGAGCATTTTCTCCCTAGCGTAGAAGACTGTCAAAGAATATCGCTAGAGGTTATCATCAGTGTATGTACTTAGACTTTAAGAACAGACAAGCTTACAGTATAGATTTTCAGAACTATTTGACCTGGATCCCTTTGGGGAAAAACCTGTGAGCTCAGGGAAATGTTTGCAAGATTGGAAAGGAGTGGCACAATCCCTGGAGGGAGCTGACTGAAACCACAAACCAGTGCAATAACAGAAAACAGCCTGGACCACTATTCCCATTGTGATGAATTGGGGAAGGGAATATCCCGTTCTTGATATTCCATCCATTCAGTTAAATAAAGTCTCTCTCTGTCATTAACCCTCCACTCAGTGGCTGTGTCTCGACTGCATCCCTTTTCCGTAAAAGGGATGCAAATTAGACACATCGCAATTGCAAATGAAGCGGGGATTTAAATCCCCCCGCTTCATTTACATAAACATGGCTGCCGCTTTTTTCCGGCTCAGGGCTTTGCCGGAGAAAAGTGCCAGTCTAGACGGGGATCTTTCGGAAAATAAAGCCTTTTCCGAAAGATCCCTTATTCCTCTTAAAATAAGGAATAAAGGATCTTTCGGAAAAGGCTTTATTTTCCGAAAGATCCCCGTCTAGACTGGCACTTTTCTCCGGCAAAGCCCTGAGCCGGAAAAAAGCGGCAGCCATGTTTATGTAAATGAAGCGGGGGGATTTAAATCCCCGCTTCATTAGCCAGAAAAAAGCCATGTTTATGCAAATGAAGCAGGGGGGATTTAAATCCCCACTTCATTTGCAATTGCGATGTGTCTAATTTGCATCCCTTTTACGGAAAAGGGATGCAGTCTAGACACAGCCAGTATGTTAAAGTCTCTCTCAGTAGTTAACTCTGACCACCTAGGTCTAATTGTCTTACCCATTAGGGTTAAAATGGTGGGTCCTCAAGAGTCCCTGGGAATGCTAGGGAAGCAGGAGGTATGTTGGCAGGAGGCCAGGAGAGCCAATGGAAACAGACTTGGCTTTTGAATTGAAATTAGTGGCCTTTTTGTGCCTGCTGTTATGTAACCAGAGCAGAGCTGGAAGAACATGAATTAAGCCAGAGAGCCAGGCATAGAGTTTTCAGTGACATCCATGCCTAGGGGACTAAATCTTGAAACAAGATGTGAGCAGAACAGGGAATGTTTAGTCAAATGTAATCAGATTATTTAT